TATATACATGCAGACACTCTTTGCTTTGTTTTGTTTTGGTTTTGGTTTTTAGAGACAGGGTTTCTCTGTGTAACTGCTCCAGCTGTCCTGGAACTCTTTCTCTCTAAACCAGACTGGCCTTGAACTCACAGAGATCTGCTTGCTAAAGGCATGTGTCACCACAATGGCTTTTTAAAAAAAATGTTTTGTTATTTTATGTGTATATTGTCTAATCTACATGCATGTCTATGTTTGGTACCTACACCGGCCAGAAGAGGATATCAGATTCCCTGTAACCTACCATATCAGTGCTGGGAGTTGAACTCAGGTCTTCTGAGTGTGTGTGTGTGTGTATGTGTGTGTGTGTGTGTGTGTGTGTGTGTGTGTGTGTGTGTAGATGTCTATGTCCAGTCCTCTTGAATCTGAGATGGCTAGTGTCACATGACTGGCTTTTATCAATAGAACAAAGTAGAGATAATGCTATAGCATTCCCCTGCCTCAACCTGAAGAAGTCTTATTGCTTTTATTCTCTTCCTTTGGAAGGTCAACACTTAAGGAAGCCAAAGTTTATTTACTGGAGAAGCCAGATGGTGGATAACAGAGTATTCAGACCACAGTAGCAGCCATTTTTTTTTAAATGTGTAGAGAAGGCTACAGTGGAACAGTTAGTTTACAGAGTGAGCCCACCTGAAACCATACAACACAGGAAAGAGCTGTCCCAAGGTAAATATGTAAGCTGCAGAGGCAAAAACAAATGAATAGTTGTCATTTTAAGTCACTGTGCTTTTGGTTAGCTTGCTAAACAGCAGAAAACTGGTATTAGGTTCACAGTACAGTAATGAACTAATGGCAGAGGCTAGAAGGCAAGTTCCACCTGTGATCTTCCTGGCCCTGTTTCCTCATCAGCACAATGGCATAGTTTTGGTTTCTACCTTGTCTTATTAAATGAGTGTTAAATGTGAAAATGAGCATTCTGCATACAGCATGCAGCAATCAATTTCAACTTCTCTTTTAAAACATATGTATGAGTGCTTTACTTGCGTGTATGTTTATGTACCACAGAGGGCACAGGGTCTCCTGGAACTGGAATAATAGATAGTTGAGAGACACCATGTGGATGCTGGGAATTGAACTCAGGTCCTCTGAAAGAACAAGTACCCTTAACCACTAATTCGTCTCTCTAGCCCCTCATTTTTTTCCTTCTTATTGGGGAGAGAGTCTGGTTTCACATAGCTCAGGCTGGACTGGAAATTCCCTGTGCAACTGAGGATGACCTTCATCTTCTCATCTACCCAAGTGCTGAGAGGATAGGAGGACTGCACTAGCACATTTGGCACTTGTTCCCAGACTTAGTGTTTGTGTGTGGATGCCTACACATGTATGCTTATGCTTGTTTATAGAGGTCATAGGTCAGCCTCAACTGATGTTTGCCAGGTACCACCTTGGTTTTTGAGACAGTATTTTACTTGGCCTGGTACTGATCAAATAGACTAGGCTGGCTGGTCTTTAAACTCCAGAATTCCACCTGCCTTTGCCTGCTCAGTGCTGGCATAACAATTCTGTGCCTCTGAATTTTTTTCCCCACTAGGTTCTTTGAATCAAACTCAGGTCCTTGTATTTGGAAGGCATGCACCTACTATGCTAGGTCTCCGGCCCTCTTTCCCCTCTTTTTGTGGTTCTTTGCAGTTGTTACTATGACAATTGCCAACTGTCAAGACATTAGAGAGTGTGCCATTTAGCATATAGATGAGATCCTAATGAAGTTGGAGGTAGTCTGGCAGTAACCCTGGCAGTCCTCTCAGATGCAATAATTTCAACCAACCCACTTGAAAATCTTTTGGTTTCTGGCATCTTTGTCCTCAAAGGTAAACAGGATCCATCTAGTAAAAATCCTAGTAGGAGGTCTGGAGGACTTGCTGCCAAGACTGACAACCTGAGTTCCATCCCCACACCCCATACAGTGGAGAGAAAAGCAGACTCCCTCCCCCAAATTGTTCACACACACACACATACACACACACACACACACACACACACACACACACAGAGAGAGAGAGAGAGAGAGAGAGAGAGAGAGAGAGAGAGAGAGTTTGTTGGGTTTTCAAGAGTCATGGTTTCGATGTGTAGCCTTGGGTCTTGGAACTCGATCTGTAGACCAGACTGGCCCCCCAACTCACAGGGCTCTGCCTGCCACTGCCTCCCAGGTGCTATGATTAAAGGCGTGTGACTCTATCACCTGCTAAATTTAATTAAAAAAAAAAAAACAATCCTGATAGTTTAGCCTATTGAGAGGGTCACAAATAAGAATCCATCAAGGGTTTATAGTTCTGTATTTACACATCTGGATTATTTCCCCCCTGGGCTAAAGTTATGGTAAGATCTTTGAGAAGGGGGGTGGGTGGGCTGGAGAGATGACTCAGCATTTCAGACCACTTGCTACTTTTGCAGAGGCCTCAAGTCTGGTGATGTCAGTTCTGGGGGGATCTGGTTCCTATCCTCTCTGGTCTTTGTAGTCATCTGCACAAACATAAACATGGTGCTTTCGTGCACACACGCGTGTGCACACACACACACACACACACACACATACACACAGGCGCGCACACACACACACACACTACAGTAGATACATAAAAACTCAGGCCACCTAGAGAGGCAGGTGTGCTGAGCCCAGGAAGACCTCCACTTCACTCAGACGAAGGCTCATCTTCCTCGAAATGGCCCAGTGTCCTGTCCACTCTCCTCCCCTATTCTCAACTCTTTTCTCCCTTAGTCATAGTGTTTCAGCCACTATGGCTGCCTTCAAATGTAGCAAGCTCTTTCCTGCCTTGGGACCTCTGTATCTACTTTTCCCTTCCCGGAGAGAGCTTCTGTGCTTCACTTCAGAACCACTTAACATTTTCCTTCATAGCACTTAGGGCTATCTAAAGCTTTAAATCTAGTTCACATCTACTTTTTTTTTTCTTTATAGCATCTATCTATCTATCTACCATCTATCTATCTACCTATCTATTTGAGACAGAATCTGATGTGTCTCAGGCTGGTCTCACACTCACTAATTCCAAGTGCTGGGATTACAGTCAACGGTCACCAGGTACAGTTAATGCAGATTATGGGAATTGAACTGAGAGCTTAGTGCATGCTTGGGAAACACTGTACCAGCTAAGCTACATCCCCAGACACAGTCCTCTGGTTTGTTTGTGACTGGTCTCATGAACCCCAGGCTGTCCTCAAACTCCTGATTTTCCTGCTTTTACCTTCCAAGTGCTGCCACTACAGACATGTGTCACCATGCCCAGCTGGGTAACTTTGAGATCATTGTGTTTAACCACTTCAGTTCACAGATGGGAAAACTGAGTCCCAGGGAAGAGCATGGCTACAGATTGCAGATACCCAGATAATTGTGGATACTCAAACAATGGGGATCAAATATCGTAGACCTGCCCGGGAGAGGTCCAGAAAAGGTACCTGCCCCCTCTCTAAAGCCATCACTACATATCTGCAAGCCATCATCATTCCCACTTCATGGTGGGGGCAGGAGTGTCTCTTTGGGAGCAGTGCCAGTCAGCTGACAAACTGTGAAAGGAGGGCTGGAGAGGGTAGAAAGCCTATCCCTGGAACAGACAGTTATTCTGAGGCAGCTGGGGATAATGGCTGGTACAGAAATAACCCAGCCTCCTCACCCTTGTTTCAGCCCTCACACCTCTGCCCTACCAGAGGTGAGGCTAACATTCAATGGCATTCAGCAGCACTCCCATACACACCAGCTTCTGTCTATTAGGGGGCTCACAGTCTGGTGGAGAAGGCCAGCTAGGGACCTCAGGCTTCGATGTGATGCTCCCTGGGTTTGGAAGCTCAAGAGTGTAGGTCCTCAGAAGAAAAACCCCGAGTAACTTCGATAAATGCATACAAGTTATCCAGTCCACAAGGTAATTGTAACACAGTTCAAAGAGAAGGAAGCAAAACTGAAAAGTTCCAGGAGTGTTTGCAGTCTCCGTGAGTGGAAACATCAGGAATTTTAGAGAAGGCAAGAGACTAAAACGGGGTTTGACCAAGACTTATGGGGGGGGGTAATTAAATATACCGCCAAGTGTTCGGTGCACAAGAGATATTGGGGCGTGGGGGGGGGCGTTTCGAGACAGGGTTTCTCTGTGGCTTTGGAGGCTGTCCTGGAACTTGTTCTTGTAGACCAGGCTGGTCTCGAGCTCAGAGATCCACCTGCTTCTGCCTCTAGAGTGCTGGGATTAAAGGCATGCACCACCACCGCCCGGCACAAGAGAGAATTTTGAGCAAAAGGAAGACATAGCGCAGAAAAGAGCCCCGTGTCTGTTTGGAGAAGGAAACACGTGCAAATAGAGTGAGGATGAGGGTAGATGAAGGGCAGAAAACCCTATTCTGAATAGGCACCTCTGGGTAGGATTCCATAGGAGAAAAGGGCCCTGTTTTCTAGAGGATTATTACCATCTTTTCCTAGATTCTGGACTGTAGAATCCAGAGTCACGCCCCTATCGGTACCCAACTTTCATTAGTCTAAACTCCAAGTTTGAGGTGGGGGAAAAAAAAAAGTGCTGCTGGAAACCTAAACCTAGATCAGGGGTCCGGGCAGGAAAGACTTCAGTTCCCAGGATGCTTCGCTCTGCAGCACGGAAGGCTGCGCATGCTTCCTTTGAAGTGAGTAGGGACTGGCCGGTTAGTGATTCTTTCGCTAGGATTAGTGCGGGAAAACTAACGTAACGCCATCTTCGGCGGGGTCAAACCAACTGCTCGTATGCTTGATGAGACGCTCGTGCTTTGTCTAGTCACCTATGACATGTTCTGACTGAGCTGCGCTTCTCTGTTAGAATTCTCACTATTAAGCTTTACGACGAGAATTCCAGTTCACCTCCCCAGTCCGTCACCGAACGCTCCCAGATGACACAGGACGACCAGCATGGCCGCACTCAGCCTGAGCCTCCGAGGGCTGGGCGGCTCCGCCCTTTCCGGCTCCGCCCCGTCTCTGGTTGGGAGGGGGCTTCCGCTTCCGGCATTGGAGGCTGTAGCCTCGCTCTGGTCCCTGCGGCTGGCGGCCGAGCCGTGTGTCTCCTCCTCCGCCGCCGCCATATTGTCTGTGTGAGGAGAGGAGAGCGCGGCTACTGCCGCTGCCGCTTCCACCGCAGGTACCGTGGGAGCCGCGGGCCGAGGGCATCGCGGCGCGCGGGTGAGCCCGGGCCAAGGCGGCAGGGCGAGGCCGCCTTGCACGCTCTCAGCCTCCTCCCAGGCGGCCTGTCGCTTTCCCCTGCCCCCCTCGCCGCGCACAGCAGCCGAGGCCCCTGCAGTCCATCCCGGACGCTCGCGGCCGCCCCGGAGGGCACGGAGCGAGGCGGAGGGATCGGCCGGTGTGAGGGTGGGGAGCTGGCTGTCAGACTCCTGGATCTTGCGGGAGGGAGGCTGGACTGGGCGGAGACTAAGGGACAACTTGGAGGTGGGGTGGCGGAAGGGGGAAGGGAGCCGGGGGGCGCGCGCGGGTGCCGTGGGAGCGCACGGAGGGACCGGGGCCTGCTGGGCAGAGTGGCGTGGATCCGCGCGGGACAGCCGGGAGAGGGGCCTTGCGAGGGTTCCCCTGGGCGCGGCTGAACTTAACTACCTGCAGACCCGGTGTAAGGTGGAGGGGGCCTGGGGCGGGGTTGTTGGTGAGGAAGGGCGAGGGAGGCAGGAATTGGGGCCCGAGCGGCGGGTGGATTTGGGCTTGGGAACCTGGGTGGAGGAGAGGTATGTAGGAGGAGAAAGGTTGGCTAAGAGTATACATGTTAATGACCTTTTGAAAGAAGAAGAGCACTTTCGAATTTGTTTCTTTGGTTTTTTGCAGTGTTGGGACAGAGCTAGATTAGGCCGGTGATGGGTGAAACTTTTGGAGTTTGTTTTGGGGAAGCAAAGTCAGAGTTGGGAGAATCGCTGCCTTGTCTTTGCTTTTGCTTTTGCGGAGAAGAAAGTGTTTTGAAAAGGTGACAGGTTATTTGGGGAAGAATTGGTTCTCTTGTAACTGTTAAATTCTTTTGGCAAGGGCCTAGGGGAGAAAAAGTGAAAACCAAAGTAGGATGGGAAGATGTGTCCCGGTCCCCTCCAAGTGTTGAAGACTTCATTTCGTCAAATAACTGGCCATATAGGCCAGTGGCAATGAACTGAACTTCCCCAGGTTCTCAAATATCAGAGCCACTGTCTTAGCTGTATGACCTAACTCTGTAGGCTTTGTTTTCCTACTTGTAAAATGGTGGTATCTTCTAGCTTAGAAGTTTATGTTGAGTGTCTAAGATAGTTTGTATCAAGCGTTTACTAGACTTTGTAGCAGACAGTAAGTGCTCGGTAAATCTGACTTGTTACTAAAGGGGCTAGTTGATTTGTTCAGAATTTCCCACGTCAAGGTACAGTTTATGGTTAGAGATCACTTCAGTAATCATGTTTGTAGTTATTATACATCAGTTGGTTATAATTGCTTAGTAGGCCTGAGGCTGAAAGTCCAGGACAAATACTAACTTCCCTATGTGTCATCTTGAAAAGTTCACTGCTCTAGTCCTACCAGGGCACGTTTGTCCTTCCTTGACTTTGAAATATTTGGCTTTAGTTTGTTATTGGAGGAGGATATGTAACTTGAAGAAAGAAGGAAAGGGTTGGATATTTACTTAGATTGGTTTTATTAATAGTTGCAAAGTTAGGTTACTCTTTGGCAACTTTTCTTTGAAACAAACTAAGCATACCATACCTGCTTTATTTTGGCTTTTATGAAAAACAAGAACAGAAAAGCAAGTCCTGGGGGGAGGAGGGGATCCTGGACCAGTTTATGAATTATATGGAAGCTGGAACTTGGATGAATTAGGTGGTAACATTTCCATGATGTGCTTCTGAGTCTTCCACTCTTTGTTGCTGTCTGCTTGCTTTTGTATTTTGAAGCAAGGGCTCACTCTGTAGCCCAGGATGGTCTTGAGTCCACCTGCCTCAGCCTTCAAAAGTAAGATTACCTTACTTTTGATGCCACACCCAGCTTCAGCTTCTTGGTACTGATAATACATTTCATGTGTGTATTTTTTTTTTTTTTTTTTTTTTTTTTTTTTTTTTTTTTTTTTGGTCTGTAGGTGAACATGGAAGCCAGAGGTGGATGTCAGGTGTCTTCCTCAGCTGCTTTCTGCCTTTATAACTTAATAAAAGAAAATTTTTTTAAGAATCTGTGTCTGGACTGTTGGGTGGTATGGTACCCAGCACTGAGGAGGCAGAGGCAAGCAGATTTCCGAGTTCAAGGATTGCCTGGTTTACAGATCTAGTTCCAGGACAGTCAGGGCTAGGGCTACACAGAGAAACCCTGTCTCCAAAAACACAAAAATCTGTCTATATCTGTGTGGGCATATAATATGTGTATGCATATGAGTGCTGGTGGCTAAGGAGGCCAGAAGAGGATTGGAAACTTTGGAACTGGAATTATAGGCAATTGTGAGCTGTCCAACATGGGTGGTGGGAACTGAACTTTCATCCTCTACAAGAGCAATACTCATTCTTAGCTACTAGGCTATCTCTACCTTATTTGCTGTTTTGCTTTCTTTTTTATTTATTTATTTATTTATTTATTTATTTTTTTCCCAAGACAGGGTTTCTCTGTGTAGCTCTGACTGTCCTGGAACTCTCTGTAGACCAGGCTGGCCTTGAACTTGGAGATCTGCCTGCCTCTGCCTCCCAAGCACTAGCATTAAAGGTGTGCACCACCACCCAGCATTTTATTTTACAGAGACAGTATTTCACTAAATCTGGAATTCCATGATTTAGCTGGACTAGCTATCCAGCAAACCCCAGGGATTCTCTTGTTTCTACCTTCTACCTATGCTGGGATTTCTGCACCTGACTTTTTATGTTGATGCTGAGGATTGAATTTAGGTCTTTATGCTTTTACAGGAAACACTTTACCAGCGTGGAGCCTTCTCAGGCCTGAACATGACATTTTTACATCTTACAGTCATTTAAAGACAAGGAAGACTTTCTTAGAAATTGTATTTAAACCAGGTAGTGGTGGTGGGCGCCTTTAATCCCATAATCCTAGCACTTGGGTGGCTGAGGCAGACAGATCTCTTGCGTTTATAGAGTAAGTTCTAGGACAGTCAGTGATATACAGAGAAACCTTGTCTTGGGAGGAAAGAAAAAAAGGAAGAAAGGAAGGGGAAAAAAGAAATTGAATTTAAAGCCTTAACATGGGGCAGATGATACTCCACCTTTGTGTGTCCATATTTTGATCTACACGATCTGTAAATATACTGTTATATAGTAGAAAAGGAATTGGCAGGTGTAGTTAATGTTAAGACTCTGAAAGGTTTTATTTTAAACTATGAGTATGTGGGTACCAATGGAGGCCAGAAAAAGGTGTTGAGTCCCCTGGAGTTGGAGTTAAAAGCTGTTGTAAGCTGCCTGGTTGGGGGGGGGGGCTAGGAATAATGGACTTAGGTCCTATGGAAGAGCGGTACCCACGGAGCCACCTACCCAACCTACTCATTCTCTCTCTCTCTCTCTCTCTCTCTCTCTCTCTCTCTCTCTCTCTCTCGGTTTCTCTGTGTAGCTTTGTAGACCAGGCTGACCTTGAACTCAGAGAGATCCCCCTGCCTCTGCCTTCCGAGTACTGGGATTCGAGCACCATCACAGCATGGCTTTTTATTTTATTTTTTTAAAGATTTATTATGTATACAGTGTACTGTCTACATGTATCCCTGCAGGCCAGAAGAGGGCACCAGATCTCATTACAGATGGTTGTGAGCCACCATGTGGTTGCTGAGAATTGAACTCAGGACCTGTGAGCCATCTCTCTTGCCCCCTCCCCCAAAATCTTAAAATAGAAAATTAACCTGAATCCTGGCTTAGTCACAGAGTGATTACATGAGCACTTAAAATCAGAGTACTTTTTCTAGCTGAATTAGATGGTGGATGGGAAAATCAGACAGATTTAAAGCACGAGAGGGACTCCATTAGGTACATTTAGAGAAGGCTGTAAAGAATATGAGAAGAAATGTGGTGAGCCTCTAGTATCTGACAACAAGGAGATGGAGACCTCAGTCCTACAACCACAAGAAACTAAATGCCAACATTCCTAATAGAAGTAGAATCCTCTCCAGAGTTCTCTGCAAGCAAAATGGCTTTGCAGATAACTTGAGCCCCTAACCTAGCCAGGCTTACCCAATTTATAATCCATAGAAAACATAACAAGTTTGTGATGATGTAAGTCACTACATCAATGGTAACATGGTAGCAGAACACTAAAATAGATTTTGGTACCAGGAGTAGGGTGTACTGTTACCTAAACATAGAAGTGGTAGTGGGTGGAGGCTGGAAGAATTTTGCAGAGTTATGATAGAAAAGACCTAGAACAGATTGTTAGTAGGAATCTGGATGTCAATGACTTCCCTAGTGAAGACTGAGATCCCAGTGAGTTACACGCTACTGCAAACTGACAAGAGCTGAGCAGAAATTGTATCTTGGGCTTTTGTGTAAGGCAGAGATTGCAAGTTTATTTGCAAATAAACTCAGATTTTTGGGGTGTGTGTGTTCAAGATAGGGCTTCTCTGTGTAGCTTTGGAGCCTGTTGGGAACTAGCTCTTGTAGACCAGGCTGGTCTTGAACTCACAGAGGTTTACCTCTGCCTCCAAAGTGCTGGGACTAGTGGTTGTGTGCCACTACCGCCCTGCTTGATTTTTTTTTTTTTTTTTTTTTTGGTTAGATGTTTTAGTAAAATGATGGCGAACCTTGTTTAATTTTGAATATCCTTGTAAGGGAGTTGACCCCTGTGAAATTAATGAAAGGCCTGTTATATCCTTGATAATTTTATGCCTACAGGAACAATGCTAGTGTTCTCTGAAAGAAATAGGAAAAATTCAGGATGATTGTTGAACTAATGCTGCTTTCCATATAGAAGGGTGTGCATCAGCTCGCACCCTTGCCTCTCAAGTAGAACCAAGAGCCTAGAACACAAAGCAACAGAGGCTTTTCTTTGCATAGGAAATGAAGTGAATTTTGGAGTTTCTTTGGGTCCCAAATGTTTTAGTTAATTTTTTTGTAACCCAGAACATCTTATACCTAAATTAAATAATGGCATTTTGTTGTTGGGTTTTTTTTGTTGTTTTGTTTTGAGATGGGATTTTGTCACATATCTCTT